CCTCTGATCTGTCCAGCCTCAGAAGCAGCTCTCCTACACACACACACACACACACACACACACACACACACACACACACACACAAAGTCTAAACAACACTAACCATAAGCTCTCACAGCTGGTAGAAATTTCAGTTATCCAAGCTCTCAGGGCCACCGTAAACACATCCTGTGTAACAGCGGGTACACTCACTCCTCACACACATGCACGCACGACACACACACTTTGTTCTGATCCGTTTTCTCCACAGCAGCAGGTGAATGTTCAGACTGAGCTGGTGTAACATCCCTCAGACCTCAATACAAACACACAGAGACTGAACGGCAGCAGCTCACCTCTCGTCTCCTCCACAGCCAGTTTGTCACAGATCTGCTTCTCATAGTTGTTCAGGTGATCAAGAGCCTCCTTGTGCAGACTGGCCTCCCTCAGAACCTGGTTCTGATACAGCAACAGCTCACTGTACTCATAGTCCACCTTGTCTGGAGATGTCTGCACACACAGAGAGAGAGAGAGAGAGAGAGAGAGAGAGAGAGAGAGAGAGACTGATGCAAGTGCTTTAATTTTTAACTACAGTACATCATCATTAAACTCAGCCCTGACTCTCCTCCTCTGAGGCTCAGTCACAACAGTCACAATGAATCCAGAGATTTGTTGTTGATGAACAATGAATTGCAAACTGAAAAGACAGTGACTCATAGTGAGCAGGGAGACAGACTGATAGTGAGACAGACCAACAGTGAGACAAACTGACAGTGAGCAGTGAGACACACCGACAATGAGACAGACCGACAGTGAGACAGACTGCTGCAGACCACAGCTGATCTCTCTGTACAATTGTATCTTATATTTGACTGATGTCCATCTTTTACGTTATATCTGATGTTTAAATAAATGTTAGCAGGTGCAAGTTGTCTTCTCCTACCTGTTGTGTTTTGCGGAACTCCTCGACGATCTTGGCAGCCATCTCAAAGTCCTCTAACAGGTGATAGGCCACAGCATATCCAATCCATGAGGCCCGCTGGGCTGGGCGGAGCTGCAGGAGCTGGTACCGAGTCTCCTGGAGAGAGACAACCATTACAACACATGGCTGTGAGCAGCTCTTCAGGTTTGATTGTCCGTCTGTCAGCCTCTCCTTTGTCTGTCTTCACCCTGTCATGATGAGAGACTGTCTGACCCTGCACACTCATACACCCTGACCCCCTTATCCACTCTCATCCTTCAAACCCCCCCCGGATTTCTTTAATCACTGGTATTTTTAAATGCATCTCATCTCTCTCTGCGACCCTCACCCTGTATCCCTCCAGGTCTCTCATCTGGATCTGGAGCAGGGAGAGGTCTCGGAGGATCTGCAGGTTGTCCTTGTCCCACTTCAGAGCGTTACGGTAACACTTGATGGCCTCATCATATTTTTTGTCCGAGCGCTGTAGCAGACCATACACATGCCAGCCTGGGAGGGTGAGCGAGTTCAGGAAGAAACGCAACAAAAATACACTCATACATATACACACAACCCAGGAGTTTATTTGTGGTAAGACTGGATGAATGTACAGACTGGTGGAGACAGAAATCCTGTTCTCAGGTACAGAGTGACTGCAGTAGCTGTAGTGTTGAAGCTGGGAGCAGTGAAGGAGAGATGAAGGATACAGACATGACTCCTGAGGTCGTTGCGCAGGCCTCGTCTCACCAGCTCGTAGGCCTCCTCTTTCTTACCCAGACAGTTGAGGGTTAAACCCTTCATGGCCAGAGTCTCTGCAAAGGGGGGGGGGGGCAAAGTTAATGAGAGTTATTAAGAAACTATACTAGCTTTATTTAAAAACCCCGTTTATACTTCTCGTCTGAGGGAATGACCTCTGTCTTAAAACGAGGGTCATTACTTTTACATGGACAAAACATGCAATATTTCTACTGAGCTGTTTACATTGTTAATGAAAATGAATATTCTTCTAATGTTCCTGTTTACACGCAGCCGTGCAGACACTGATAACTCTGATTAAAAGGCCACTGATGTGATATTTGTACATATCCAAAAACCTGCTGATATCCAGGTCTTTGTTTCAGAGCATTTCTCCTCCCATTCGAAATGTGGACTTTTCTTCTACTCGAGCCTTCAAACTCAGAGCTGACCTTAAACAGACAAAAGACTGTGTGCTGACGTAAAAATCCAAACTGAGACACGTGTTCTGAATGTGAATACATGTACACAGAATGCTCCTAGAACCTGAATAATATCAGTGTATCCCACATGTCTTGATCAGAAAATACTAAATTCAGAGTAAGGCCACATTTAGGATATCCAAACAGAATATGCTGTTTACATATTGTCAGATTCTGAATGATAGTGAAATATAAGTATACACGTAAATGTACTGATTGATGTGTCTGTATGTACACAAGTCTTTGTTCTTCTCTGTCTTTGTTGCCGTAACTATTTCCGCTCTTCACCCGGACCTCAAGTTGTTCCACAAAGAGACAGACGACAAAGTGCACAGCCCTCATTCAGCTGTTCCACTAATCTAAAATCAAATCAAACTTTTATTCTATTTAAGAAAAATGTACCTCCCCTTGTTTCTCCTGATAGTAATGCCTTGCTGAGCAGAGGGAGACCTTCTAATCGACCTGTGTAGGGATTTCCTCTCATTCAGCCACGAAAGCTCTACTGAGGTTATAGACCTGGATCAGTCAGGTTCCAGTTCATCTCAAAAGGCATGTGTGTATGGAAATAGCACTGCCACACACTTTTAGCCACATGGTGAATATGAAATAAAACCTCAATTTAAACATTCAGTAAGTGTGGAATCAGACTAGAGGGCAGCTTGAGATCAGCCCTAACACCACGTTTATCAACATGTGGACGTTCTGACCCATGAGTATGTGTCTCCAGGACCACATTTTGCCATGATGACACACACACACACACACACACACACACACACACACACACACACACACACACACACAAAGTGTAAACAACACTAACCACAAGCTCTCACTGCTGGTAGAAATTTCAGTGATCCACTTCTAACATACGGTGGACACTAAAAAGTGATGAACCTGGCTGAGACACACTATTGTTCAATGCTTTGTGACTTTTGAAGTTAAAAGCACTGAACAATAATGTGCTCCAGCCGGGTCCCTGGAAACACTTCTGTTGTTGTTTGTGCTACTTGCAGTGTGTTGAGCTCTCAGGGCCACCGTAAACACATCTTGTGTAACAGCGGGTACACTCACTCCTCACACACAGAAGCAACAACGTGACAGTGAAGCATGAATCTCCTCAACAGTTTAGTGTGAGGAAACAGGTCATGTAGCTCTTCTCTTACCTCCATGCTCTGCAAACTTTGGGTTGCCCAAGATCTGTTTGCAGAACTTCAGGCCGTTTCTGTACTGCTTGTGCTCGTAACATCTCTGCAACACAAGACAGAGCAGATTTTACATGGAGCGTCTGCAGCCAAGAGTCTGCTGTTCTCCATGCATACTCAGAAAGCTGGGTTAAAGGACATTACTTAAAGTGTGCTGAATGCAAACACTGTGCTCCAGTGACCTGGAGAGAACTGGTCCTTCCTGCTACAAGCTAACACCACACACCGCCTCCTACACAGAGCAGAGGAAGACTATGGCACTAAAATAAATGAAGGAAACGGCACTTCAGAGCCTGTTTGATGGAAGGTTGTTGATGAGGTGTACTCAGACAGGTGGGTGTGCCCCTCACCTCCAGAATCAACTCTACTAACGGTATAATATAGTGTGGGACAAACTCCTAGTTGTCAGGAGTGGTACTAGTATTATCAGTATCATAAATTAATAGTCATATATTTTAGATGATGGCTACATCAGTGGCTCAATAATTTGAAAAAACATTTGACTGTCACCGAGTTTGTGTATTTGATGTTTAATTTAAACGTGCTTTAATAAACAACTTCCAGATCATGTTGTGATGTGAAGAAGCAGTTAGATTAAACGTCAGATTAGTGAACTGAATCACTAGAATTAACAACAACTACTGTGGTGGAATATACGAGACAAATGTTAATACACAGACAGTGGAGCCGAACAAGTTTCCGAACCCCAACTGTTACCTGTAAATGCAACACGATGGTCCACCTGAGATGTGTCTGTCAGCTTAGTCACTGAGAGACTGTGGAAGGCCACAGCTCAGGTGGGACGACACATGACAGTTTATCACACAACTACTCTGTTTTCGTCATAGCGTCGTTCCCACTACTCATTCATATCACAGACATTACAGTCACAATGCGTTTGGTGGACTGAATATTTTTGGTTTACTCACTAGCTACTTTCTCTGACTGACAACTCACGGCTACTTGGCAAACTAGCATTAGCTCGGAAGCTAACGTTATCTCAGGCATGTAGCCTACCAGAATCCTCTTGAAGAGCGCATTCTCCTTCGGCGGTAGGGTGATTGTGGGCATTGTGCTGGCTTCCTATGCCTCTGTCGGTTCACACATGAATGATATCCTCCTGGAGTCACAGTTCCCGGGGTGTTTAAGGCTCCTCTCTCTCACGTGTTAAAGCCGAGGTCCCCTCTCAAGCAAAATGGCCGATGTGCTTCCCCATCGGATCAGACTGCTCAGAGTCTGCGCGTCAGGGACTATGATGGTATTTTGACAAGGAGCACATGCCACATTGTTTTATTCAGCGATACATCAAATAAAATAACACATAATAACACAACATTTCTTATGTTTACGTATTCTGTGTCAGTGCCCTCCTGTGTCCACTGGTTGTGTTGGCTCGATCGTCCCTAACCAAATTCCACTGAAATTTCTATAAATTGAACCCTGCTTTGCTTCTTGGCAACTTATTATACTTAGTAGAATATAAAATATTAATTTTTACCAATTATTTGCATAAATAATTGACGAAGCAGCTCAAAAGTCTTATGTTTTTGAAGGAGGGATTCAGTTCTTAATATGGAGACTGCGGTGGAGCCAGCCGCCAGTCACGTTATGGGGACGTGAGATGATTTTCTTGATAAAAACAACAGACTTTTGTTTAATATAAGCCGGATTTAAGAGTTCGCCATGGGGATTTGAAATCTTCTTAATACATGTGCTAATACGTGTATATATCTGCTGACAAGATCTGAGTATGAGCATAAGAACATTCACTGAGCGCTCGTTCGACTTATCGGTTGTCTTTGAAACATAGTCAGTTCTGCCAGGAACTTTAATCAACCGCGGAGCGGCAAGATCGAAAATCGGACACAGGGATCTGCTCTTTGGCTAAAATGATTTTCAACCGGTTTTTAATCAGAGCTGTTCTCGACGGCAAAGGTAAGATGACATAATGGTAGTTAATTCATGGTTATGATTGTCAAGGGTATGCGTTTTATCTTACTTTCTACAACGTGGAGATTACGTGTTTATTTTGAAGCCTGACCTTAGCTTAGCATTCTTGTAGCACCGCATTCAAACCGGAGATTATCTCCTCATGAAGTTGTGGATTTTATGGCACTGCTGCCCAGCTTTGTTTTCGAGCAATGTTTACCCTTTGCTAACATATTCTTAGATTGTTTTTTTAGTGTAGTGTTATAGTCCAAATTTCTACCCACACATAATACCACTCTCTGGAGCATGGAGGGGCATTCGCCCCAGTTTCCTTAAGAATTTGGGAAATTTAACACTGCTTAGTTTATTGGAAAACCAACGTTTGAACGAAGACTAATTATAATTTGTTTGTATAAATAGAGGTTCATTCTTCAATTCCATGAACTTGACAGACCACAGTTAACGCCATAGCTTTCTTCCAACAAATCACAGAGAGCAATCTAAATCAAGTTTAAAACTTTGAAATGCCGTGTTATTGAAATGGTAAACAGCCAGGCCAGTTACATGGCTTTGTAAATAGTCTCATGTCATCTTCCACTAGGTTCACAGTAACTGATTCTTCTCATGTCATACTGATGTTATGTCTCTTCATGGCTGTTTCATGTACAGACTGCCAATGTAAAGACAATGTACTGTGCATTTCTCACTAAAACTGGGTGATTGCTGTTTTTTTTTCAGCTGGATCCAGGTCTGTATTCACGAGCTCCAAGCCAGACACTGCCAACCCCAACTGGTTGAGAGTTGGCCTTGCCTTTGGAACATCTGCTCTCCTTTGGGGCCTGGTAAATGACCTCATCATTTCATGTAGATAATTTTAATGGTATATCATCATTTGATCATTTGTTTTTAGAGTTCTATGTGTAATGTATCCAGGGTTTCTGTTTACACATCAAGCATGACATTTGTGTCATTGCCTTGCCTATCTGAAACGTATGCATGTCTTATAGCGAGACTGAATAATTTAATATTCAGGTTTGAGTGCACAGTATCTGATCACCATACAGCACATACTGTACCTCAGAATAATATAGATAGATCTATACTTTATTTATCCCCTATGGGAAATTCGATTAAATTGGTCTTAAATGATCATATACAATATATGCATCTTTGAGAGGTAAAGGCATGTTAAAATGTCAGCTGTTTAAATGGCTTTGGTGAGAGATTGTCAACATGAAGTCTTATATTTCATCTCAGTTTATTCATTTCGTTGTAAAACTGTTGTTTTCTTTGATTCCATGTAGCTATAAAAAGCAACACTTAATCCGTCTGAAATCTGCATTACACTGAAGACAAACACTCATTTATTGTAGCTCTGGAAGGCAGTTAATAATTTCACATTATGATGGGATGTAGTTCAATATGAAAAATGTTGTTATATAGTGGGTACATTTAAATGACCTGTGGTGTTGTTGTCGTCCACCTGCAGCTCTTCAAGCAGCACAGCACAGATGTACATGAGTACAAAGTGAGGAATGGTCTGGAATAACCCACCACACTGGTATGTGTCTGGCTGTTCATTTTGATGATACTGAAATATACTGTATGTAGAATTGAAGTATTTTATTTATTTTCTGTCACCCAGTATGAAGCTCCAGTCTAAAATGTGTGAACTAATAAAAGATGATTTTTTTTTGTGATTCTCTTCCTGTGCAGGAGTCCTCAGGTTCTGTCTCTGGGATGGACCTGTTCCTCCACTTGTTTCTATTTCCACTGTTCCTGATTCCTCACTCTGCATTCTGTGTAAAATAAAATCTAATATGTGAAAAAGACACTAGTCACAATCATCTGTTCACATGAATTCACAGCTACTGTCGTATTAGGAGTGACATGTTTGAGCTTTTCCAAACATCAGTATTTCATTGTTTATCTTTTGGAACATCACAGAGCAGGTCGATGACCTCATCCTATAACACCTGTGTCACTTGTCTTCTGGTAGGAGTTGATTTGTACACAGCTGACTGAAATTTGTGTTAACTAATGCACATAATGCAGAACACACTTGCAGAACACAAATAAACAAACATGTCCCCACCAAAGGCCAATTTACAGTCCTTACATAATGTGAGCCAGGGCATACACAGGGAGAACAACAAGAGAATGAAACGTTATCAAGGTAGACTATGTATAGAAAATTATTCTTCAATTCTTCGGGTTATGTTTCTGTTAAACTTAGTTGATAGATAGATAGATAGATAGATAGATAGATAGATACTTTGTTTATCCCCTAGTGGATATTCATGTGTACTTATTGTCGATAATAGTAAAAAACAGTTAATAATAAATAAACAATAATAATTAGATTAGTCCACTTCCTTTGGCTGAGGTGTTGTATAGCCTGATGACAGTGGGAACAAAGGATCTCCTGAACCTCTCTGTTCTGCAGTGCAGTGAGATGAGACATTTGATGTTTCTCTGTCCTGCCAGAATGTTGTGAGGAAGAAATACACATATTGGGTAGTGGGGACTTTGACACCTGTTTGTCTACATGCAGTGTCCCCTACTAGTAAGTTGTTAATTTCATAAATGTCTTCTTACAACACCCTTAAATTACTAATTGATGAGTCTGGGGGCCCTTCCTGCCCCCTGGTAAATTGACCCTGGTGTCTGAATGTTCTTATTTTCTGTGATCCTGATTGTAATTGCATTCTGTCTGACCACAATGTCTGCAACCATTAGTCAACTGTACTGTCCCCCTGCCCTTCACCCTGGGTCAGTCTATTGCCTCAGACCTGCCCTGTGTCAGTAGGCTCACCGTATTCTGGAATACCAATAAACTCATACCGCTACAGCAAACTTTGGAACAAAATGAGTTGAGTGGAATTTCTTCATCAAAGGCTCTGACAGAAAAGAACACAACGCAACTTTGCATCTTCACTTTCTTATCAGTGCTGAGCTGTAGCTAAGAGTGAGGACAAGTGAAATGTCGGACATATGTTGCCTTTGACCCCTGTGCTTGACATTTCCAGTGAAAGAGGTGGGGTGGGGGCTGAAAGACACCATTATATATGGTTAAATATACATCAGGCCCCATATATGTATGGAGGGTGATTAATGCCACAGGACGAAGAAGCAGGAGAAAGAGTCATAAGACCGCATGCCTTTGGCTAGATTCAACAAGACAAGTGAAGTTGTAAAATGAGATAAAGCAGCAGGTGTTAAACTAAAATGGGTTAAGAGGCCAGTTCAGTCAGTTGTACTGTATTTTATTTAAAAGTCAAAATGTTTTATCGAATTAGGAACATATTAGTGTATTTATTCAATAGCTTTTATTCACACTTTTTCTTATTCTCAAATTCTGTATCCTCATAAAAGTATTGTGTGGGAGGGGTTAGGTAGGGCAGGGTGAATATGAGAGACAAAAAATTACATATGCAGAAATAAATAATTAAATTAATCAATAAATGTAAAATAAATACATTTTGTAATTTTACATTCATTTTGTTATGCATTTCTTGATTTATCTATTTATTTTTGTATCTATGCATTCATTTAATTATTTATCTATTTAAACAATTATTCATTTATGTATGTATTTCAAGATTTATGTATTTATGTCTGTATTTCCACATTTTTGGATATAGCAGTGTGATCCGTTGGCTGGATCATCTACTACTACCTTGACTGGTACACAGACAGGAGCTTTGCCTTTCCAGTGTTGCCAATTTAGGCCCTGTTCAGACCTGCAATAACATGCGTCTTCAGTGATCTGATCACAAGTGGTCAGCTCTATGTACATCAGCTCACACCTGGCTTTCGACATGCGTCTCCAGTGACCACTCGGATCTCACTTCCCTGCTCTATATGCAAAGAGTAATTGTTCCTTGAATGTGACCCAGAACACATTCACGTTCACACTGCTAAAAGAATGTGTCCACATGTGGCCAGACGACCTCTGAATGTGGTTTGATGCATCTTGGGTGCGTTCACACCTGAATTTAAAGCTGACCACTGGTGATCAGATCACCTGAGATGGATTGTAATACCAGGTCTGAATAAGGCCTTAGTAACTTTGACACTAGATTTAATGACTTCTCAGACTTTTTAGTGATGTTTTTTTGTAAAGCACCTACCAACATATCTAGTTACTTTTTGACAAACCTTAGCTACATTCAATAAAGGAGCCAGTACTGCCCCATGAGAACCTCTCTCTCTGCAGCACATTAAGTCCACACAGCAGCTGACAGAGAGTCCTACACACAACAGAAGTGTTTCCAGCAGACACAAGTGTGGATTGGGGGTGTGGGGGGTGTAATCCTAACCTTAGCAGCTCGAGATTAAGTCCAACCTGTGGACCTTTGTGCCATATCATCCTCTCCCTCCCTCCCTCTCTCTCACTATTGGAATTGAAGCAAAAAACAACTTAAAAAGAAAGAAGTGATGAACCTGCTTGGACACACTTGTTATTCAAAGCTTTTAACTTAAAAAGTCACAATTGGGCAATGAACAACAAGTCCCAGCCAGGTTTATCACTTTTCAGTGTCCCCTGGAAACACTTCTGTTGTGCTTTGAGTTTTTGCAGCACATCTGTTGTCAAATTTATGAAGATGTTTCCTGAATTTGCAGCACATTTGTCTATTTGCATGGGTTTTCTTAAGTTGCAGTGCGTTGACCTCTCAGGTCAACCATAAAAGACAGCTTGTAAGTGATCACTCAATAAATGTATTTTTCCGGGGTCCTAACAACTCCTCATACATGTCATCTTCCTGTTCCTTCCTGACCTGTTGCCTTGTGGCATTAACCATCCCTCATACAAAAGCACAGCACAACATACTTGCGTAAGCGAGGGCAGGTCCGTCCTCCGCCTCCTCGCACGCTTCTCTGAGCAGGGTAGAGCAGCCATTCATCCAGCATTTGCTGAAGCTGCAGCATTTCCACAGGAGCACTTGGAGAGCAGCAATGTTTTCCTGCAGAGTGGCTTGGCAGAGGTGTGGGCCTCTGGCACGGAGAGCAGCCTACAGGTTGCCTCGGGAGGGTGAGTTTCATCATCCAAGCTAAAAGCATTAAAACGGAACACAGTGATAAATTCTCCATGATCTTTGTACTTGAATGTAACGATTTGTCTTTGATGTGTACCACCCGCCCCCTCCTGATGTAACCGATGCAGTTGTACACTGTGTCCTCGTGTTCATCTCCCTCCATAGCTGCATCATGGAGGATAGCAGAGTCTGTCCGTGTTACATGAAGGTCAAGTTGGATTTTTGGCTTAAGTTTAGCTGAAAGGATTTTGTGGTATATTTCTGTCCCTCGCGTGTGAGTTGTGTAATTTGTTAGACCGTTTTATTTTTCTCACAGAGGTGAAATTTGAACCGGTGTTCATCACGACATTAAACACACTGTGACAGTGGAACAGAGCAGCAGATAGTGTTGTCCTCATACTGAACATATGTGTTACACGTTAAACCAGAGTAACCAGGAAGGATCAAACCATTAACACCAATTAAAGACACGTCTGGCTTCTTCTCTGTGACGCGATGTATATAATGTATGTGTAATATAAACATCCCTGTTGATTGAAGCAGTAATGTACTAGTATATGTGTAAGTGACCTTCATTAGTCTATAGGTAGCTGGAAACATGGTTGACGCTGTGGGTCACGTGGTGTTTGCGAGTGACGGTGGTCTAATGTAAAGGGCAGAGGCACGAGCCATTCCTCCACATTTGTTAGCTTGCGCCATGAGGTGGTCGGTGGAGCTGCTTTCCTGTCTGCTGACGTCACATAATCGCGAATGATTGGGAAGCTGTCAGTGTTCACTCAAGTCACTCTGACTGCCCTGAGCTGCTGTCAGTCAGTATGAATCTGATCTGGGACTCTGTTCACATCAGGGTCTGGGACTTCACATCAGGGTCTGGGACTCTGTTCACATCAGGGTCTGGGACTTTGAATGAACCAGTCTGTGCAGGTGTCTTAGGTCAGGTGGTGTTTTTGACACAGAATACATTCATTAACTTGAGGTGGGTTAGTTAGTAAAATATATTTATGAAGCACAAACCAAGCTCAAAGTGTTAAACAATAAAAGCATTTAGCAAAAACCAAACTCAAGGTTTCACATAAGCATTTAGCACTAAATACGAAACAGACACAAGGCCAGCCAAAGGTCCACTTCTGGATTTTGTAGAATTTTGAACAATCAGTAAACAGGAAGTGGACCTGGTGTTTTGTGCTCTAAAGGCCATGTTTGGTTGAAGGTGTGTTAGCTAGTTATCATGCTAAGTTTTTCTTCTGATGGTCACATTACATTCATGGTAAAGATCAGTTCTCTCTGTATCATTTAGGTGCTGAGGCTTGGCCTCTTTTCTAAAGTCCAGACTACCCCTCTCCAGTCCACCACGTCCTGGCTGCCTCAGGAAACACCCCTTGGCTTACATGTCCTGGCAAATAGATGTGCCTCCCTCGGGGGCTTTCCTGTTGTCATGCTGCCAGGCTCCACTGGACACCTCTAAACAGATTACATCGCAGGAATGTCCACTCTAGACCCCAAGTCCATTCAATGATGGGACAGATGTACTGGGCAGCAGAGACTGTAACTTCTCCTCCCCAGTGGTCCCACTTAACCAGAGGAGGGTATCATGGTCTGATCCTGTGACATCTTGACCTGCATCCCCTTATCCCCCCAACCCATACCTTCAGCCTGAAGCTGATTAGCCTGTGGAAATATCAGCGGTGGAAGCTGTCAGTTCCTGAGAACATGAGGAGTTAATACCCTCAACACTGCACATGCCTCCAGGTTCTCTCATCCCACAAGAACAACTCCTTCATAATGTGACAGTGTTCACCTCATTGAGTCAGAGGAAACAATTTGTTTCTTTAGTCTGACAAATCTATATTTGCTCATGAATTAATTTGGCTGCTGTTGGAGTTTTCATAAATGGAGTCCAGTCATGTAGTCATGATCACAGTCAAACTGACGTGTCAGTGTAGTTTTTGTTTTTGTTTTTTTTTTCATAGTAATTTCAGACGTTGCCTTTTTGTACAGCTTCACTCTGTATGTCAAAGTGTTTTCAGTGTTTCAGTGAAAGCTGATCAGGAGGATTGTATATTATATAAGTGACACAACATAAGGTGTTGACTCATGATTCCCTCAGAGAAGAAACACTGAGTCAATCTAGGTGACTGGAATTTAGCACCTGAAAGTTCATCTTTATATATATTTATATATCAAACCTCCCTTTGGTATTTAAAAGTCCTTACAACATGTTTTGAAACAGTTAGAATAACAAACAAAAAACAGACACTACCCTCTCTCTAAGGGTGTGGAGTAAGAAGCATCACCTTGCAGACGTCAAACAAGTGTTGACAGGCATATTTTTGGCAATCTAAATCTGCTGCATTAAATCCAATCAGAGTGGGAGGCATCATGAGCCTCAGGGTGCTTTCTCACCGAGAGCTGAAGATTATGGGCTTGTGCAGCACATTTCCCTGTCCTGTAGTATAGCTTCCATTTACTGATACATGGAAACAAAGACTTTGCACGATCACAAGTTGTTCTGATTTACTCCTCAAATCATCTATAATCAGTCTGTTCTCAGAGAATCTGTCCTCCTTGAACCTCCTCTGATACTTCAAAGGTCAAAGTGAGAATCTTACCTGAGTCATCAAATAATCAACAGCAGGTTTGAGCACAGTCTAACATGTGACTTTAAACCTGTTCCAGTTGTGCAGCGGCGGCAGATGTCTTCACTTCCTGGTGGTTCAGGGGAGAACATAGTCTACACCCTGCTGTGTGGTGGAGCCTTCGTTGGTGCTGTGTCATATGTAAGTTTGTTTTGGTCTGTTCATCATTTCAACTTCAACACATTTGATGAGACTTGCACTAAATAAATAATACACTGAATAAGGTTGATATTAGTTCCCCAACAAAAGGTTAAAATTTCCAACAAATGATGTGATCTGTTAAATGTGATGGAGATGACCAGAAATGTTTTCCCTCTCCACAGGCATACATCACCGTGTCCACAGACAGCGCCAGGTACAACGAGCGTGTTGCACAAATCAGGGCCAGACCCAAGACAGAGTGGGTACCTAAACCATGGCCACCAAAGAGTAAGTACTCCTCACCTGTACCATGAGACTGCTGTTACAGAATGACTCACAATAAATAATCAGGATATTAAACAATGATAAAGGAAACATTGAACACAAACACAAGTACTTCTGTTTATGAATGTAAGATTGTTATTTCTGTGTAAACGGTAAAAATTATAATGATGATGATGAATGAAGCTCCATGAAGTTGTTTATTTTATCTCATATCTTATTCTGTATTTCCACTTAGCTGTAACTTGGATCTCTTTGGAAAACCGTGTGTTCACATGGTCAAAGGAATGTGTGACGTGTTCACACTGTGTTTATAAAGACCAGTTTATGTGCAGGAAATGGCATACACATGGTTTCTGTGTGTACGCATCATTTATGCATCTGGTCCCTGATCCCTTCCACTGTAAAACATGACAGCATGAGTAGAGTAATCCTTGTTATGGTTTGGTTCTGATAGCCAGTTTTATTTTAGATCTGGTTCCAGGTTGGCCAAGTATCCTTATCTGAATCTGTAGGGCTTACAACTCCCTGATGAAATGTTCTTTCCTTGTTATTTTACAGAACAATGTTAAAACATTCAGGTGACAGACTTTTATTTATTGTAGCCGACCGTGACACAGAGCAAAGCAGTTCTGCCTCTTACCATAATTCTGTAGTCCCTCAAAATAAATAACAGTGCAGATCTATAGCCAAATAAAACTCCAATTACAGGAATCTACCACCAAATAATCAATACCTTCACATACCTTGTTCTGCTCCATGTGTGAGGACATTTAATGAGTCATACTGTCGGCAGCTCCTGGTGCAGAAGTCACGTCTAACAAAGAAATGAAAAAAATATCAATGCAAGAGGGAATTTTTAAACCTCTTCAAGGTTAGAACTGTAATAAAACCATTTCACTGAATTAAACAGTACTGTATCAGTATCTTTCATTGAATCACATTTATGTTTAATTCATCACTATTATTAAACCAAAAGAGTAACAAACTTGTACCAATAACAGGATTATATTGTTTTTATAGCCGAAATGAAACCTAGAACTCATCTCCAGTCTCCAGTTTTTGTTTTTTTTTCAGTGGTTTTGAGAGAAACATGAAGTCTTTATAAAGAGGTGGAGACTTTACGAGAGACCTAATAATTAGGCCATTATATCCTGTTCCTTCATAATTTAAGACTGTACAATATTCTAAAGGTCTAAGCTGAGTTACTGCACTGGGTATGTTGCAGGTTTATGTTTAAAAGTACTCCATATTGACTAAGTGAAAACAGAATTTTAGACACATTTGGAAATGTATTAAAAAGTAAAAACTGAAATATCACATTGACACTATGGCACCACTGATCTGGTCTTCACGTCAGAGAGTCCAGACGAAGCCTCTCTTCATTGATAGTTTGTAAAGAAGCAGCTAAAGGACTCTGAGACTGAGAGAAACCAGATTCTCTGCTCTGATGAGACCAGGACTAAACAGTTTGGTCTCAGGTCTAAGAGTCAGGACTGAGCAGAAGCTGACCAGAGCAGAGTACAGAGAGTTACATTGACTCATCTGACAGACACCTTTATCCAAAGAGACCTGACTGAGGGACATCACTGCAACTTCAGTGCAGCAGGAGACCTTGCTGTAAGGACTAAGTACTACATCTATGTAACAAGTGAAGGAGATCAGGTAGAGTTCACAGTAAAAGGACAAGACATGTTAGGGTGTTAGATGTGTTAGGAGGAGGTGCACTCTGAAGAGATGAGTCTGATAGACTTTGGTAGCTTATTCCACCATCAGGGAACCACAGACCAGAACAGTCTGGACTGAGACTGTCTTGTGCGTCAGTGGCCAAGAAGGAGCATAATGTGACCTGTGACCTCAATGACTTGTGGGACCTGTGACCACCAGTTCTGGTGTTCTTTCACAAATGCCAATCAAGCTGCAGGGTGCTGGGCTGTGAGCACAGGTCCCACTAGAGGATGTGGGGTCCTCATGCCACCCTCATGGAGTCTGTTTCTGACAGTTTGGTCAGAAACATGTACACCAGCATCCTGCTGGAGGTCATGTTGTAGGGCTCTGGCAGTGCCCCTCCTGTTTCTCCTCACTCAAAGGAGCAGGTACTGGTCCTGCTGCTGGGTTGATGTCCTTCTACAGCCCTGTCCAGCTCTCCTCGTGCAACCGCCGGTCTCCTGGTATCTCCTCCATGCTCTTGAGACTGTGAGAGAGACGCAGCAAAACTTCTTGCAATCTGATTGACCTGCAGGTACCGCCTCATGCTGTAGTGACAAGGACACCAACAAAACACAAACCTAGAGAAGAATCAGTCAGGAAGGATCAGGAGAGAGTAACTGTCAGTGGCCACCACATGTAGAACCATTCCTTTTTTAGGGGTTGTCCTGCTTTTGCCTCCATTGCACCTGTTGTCACTTTCATTTGCACCAAAGCAGCTGAAACTGATTCACAATCACTTGTGCTTCCTAAATGGACAGATTGATATCCCTGAAGTTTAACTGACTTGGTGGTATACTGCGATGATTAAGTATTCCCTTCATTTTTTTGAGCAGTGTATAATGGGTTGGTAATGGTTTCTGTAAAGGTTGTTAGTGTCGAGAAGGATTGTGGGTTGCCAGCAGGGCGGAGCTGCAGGTGCCGCCCTTGTGGACTTCCTGTACTCAGAGACCTTTTATACCTCCTGTCATAACTCTGTTAAAACAGGGCTGAGGATCAGAGGGTGTCACCTACTGCACCCAGTTCCTGATGGTTGATGATGTTGTGGAGCAGTTTGTTGTTGTTAAATGCCTTTATTGTGACGTCTTTTTTGTTGTGGTTATCTGACCTAATTAATCTAATGAGAAGAACTTAACTTCATATTCAGGCTCTCCAGAGGATAAACCCTGTGTGATGGAAAGCAGACACTGTTGGATTTTCAAACTAATGTTCTTTGAACAAACCATGTCTACACAGGGAGGTTGTGTTCAATAGAAACAGATTTCAAATGGTTCAAACAGGTTCAAATGTGTATCACAACCATTGCGTTTAAACTGTAATACAATGTAAATGATTACTGTAACGGTAACAAACAATGATTTCTCATTTTGAAGAAACAAGCTAATCCACACATCAGCTGACCTGTGACTCATGTGACTTGTTTCTGTGTGAAACTGACATTAAACAGTACTTGCAACAATTACTTATCTACATATAGCAACAGTAAATACACCATGTGTTTTAGCTTACTAGACTTTAGCTTAATGCTCATTGGCTGTAACTCATTGTGGCTTCTTTCTATGTGAAACTGACCCACACTGTTTCTGTTTGTCTGCAGGTAAGGATGATGAAGAGGGTAAGTTCCTTTATCAGACACCTGTCATTCATTATCACTGCCTGACAAATGACTGAGCACTGATGATGCATGTTCCTCAGTGAGTTCCTCATGATCACACTAATCACTACTTTTATCATAGTATCATAGTTCAGAGATTTGACAGCTAACAGTGGGAAGGAGAAAACACACACACACACACACACACACACACACACACACACACACACACACACACACACACACACACACACACACACACACATACAGAAGGTGTCTGAATGGATAGTGTATTTTTTAAGGCTGATATAAAATATCATGTAAAATGATGTAGGAAAAAGGCCATTGATCAGCCAATATGATCAATATGTTCCTCCAGCTGCCAGCGTCAAGTAAGAATCAATTCGATATAACTAAAATATATTGAACTATATAACTGTAATGTATTGAGTATTTATTCAAATCTAGATGATTGATGTTTAAGATGAGACCACTTTAAATGATCCCGCCTTTGTTTTCTTGAAGTTGTTGTTGTTGTTGTTGTTGTTGTTAGAATAAAACTTTTCAGATAAAGTTTCCTTAAGTTAGAAACTGTTTTCATCACAGAAGCCTTCTGGGTTATGTAGCCTGTTTTGGACAGAAATGCAAAAACACATTTCTGCAAACACAACTCAGTAGCATTTATTATTTAAGTAGTGAATTAGTCCTCCATCACCACGGCGTCAGTCGTCGTGTCGCCATGAAAAGTTTTACTTCTGCGCATATTGTTTTTAAATAAACCAGTTTCTTATCCGTGTGAATCCAATCATTTGTAAGGGAAGTCCTGAAGTGACTTGATGTATTAACAGTGGACGATGATCTGAGCCGAGCTAAAATCACTCTTTATGGTAAAGCTTTTTCAAAGTACAGTGCTGCAGACTCTTTAACTCTTTAAGGAGGCCTGCATCTTCTTTCTAGCAATGTGGATGTCAGTCCAAGGTTCATGAGAACACAGATGAAATATGGATTATTGATTATGCTAATCACTCCTCATCAAGCTGAGAGATCTTCTTGGTACATGAAGTAGTCCAGTTGGATTGTAGATACTGTGTACAATATATAAAATAAAGGAGAAACTCACCTGAGTTGTAGTGAACTTCTAAACCTCAGCTGTGCACTCAAAGTGAATTTGTAGTTACGGGTTGGTAAAATCAAAGCGTTCAAACTTATGATTAAAGAAGGAACAGAAGTGCATAGATTTAACGTTTACATATAAATATTGTGCAGATTGTTGCCTCTGAATTATGAATTGACTTTAATGGAGTGAATGTGTGATCACATTATGTCACTGATTTGGTTTGTCAAGGTAAAAGTTCTGAGCTACTGTTCTCAGCTGTGTTTCTAATGAGATTAAACACATGTACTAACATTAGGTGAACACAACAGACAGGCTGCTTATAAACTGCTCATCATGGTCTCAGCACAGACGTCTCACTGCTCAGTACTGTACTGAGCTAACGCCATCGTCAGTTTTACTCTAGCTCTCTGATGTCGAGTGCTGGGTTTTTTTAACAGGACGTTCTTAATTTAACAAATCTAAGAGACAAAATGATTCCTAATGTTTTATAGTGTAAAGTTTTATTCAAACACAGATCAAACAAACAACAACATACTGTACTGTACTCTGTCATTATGAAAAACTTAATGTCTTACAATATAATTGAGTGAATTAACTGTTATGTTACTGTAAGTGTGGAGCTCGTATAATTAAGAGTTCCTCAGTCCCAGGACAGTGAGAATGAACTGAGATGTACTGGTTGAGTGGTCCAGAAGGATAAACTGCTCGCTCAGTTAAATTCTCATAGCAGCAATTCATTCTTCTTCTCTATAGTTTGAGATCTTGTCTGCAGCAGTGCTGGTTTGAGATCATGTGTGTGTATATATACAACATATCCACCTCTTCCTCGGACTTGATCATACTCAGTCTCTCCTGATTTTAGCCCACTAGTCAAAAGGCTTGGTCACCAAACCATTTTCCTGCTTTGGTCCCTCTTCTCTCTCCCTCCCACTCTCCACTGTGTCCCTCAGACCTCCTATTGGAGGAAGAAGATAAGTTCTTGGACCTAAAATAAAAGCTACATCTTACTTTTTCTTCCAAACTTGAGTCATTTATAGCAAATAAGTGAGATATAAATAATATAAATAAATCTTATTATGATGATGTTTTTTTTGAAGATGTCTGTGCCCTGAGACACATAATATCTGAAGGCCAGTTTATGGTTTCCACTACCCCCAGTCAAACAGATGTCTCTTCACACTATGATCAGGAGTGTATGTATATGGACACGCAGCTGCGTGACGACCTCCTGACACACATGTATTTGGAACAACATGAAAAAGTCCAAAGATAACATTGTATGTGCACTTAACTCTACGTGAAAGGCTTTACATCACAGACTTTACATCACACAGGTTTTACAGAAGACTTTACATCAAACAGGCTTTACATCACAGACTACATCACAGACTACATCACACAGACTTAAAATCACACAGGCTTTACAGAAGACTTTACATCACTCAAGCTTTACATCACAGACTACATAACACAGACTTTACATCACAGACTTAACATCACACAGGCTTTACATCACAAACTACATCATACAGGCTTTACATCACTAGGCTTTACATCACACAGGTTTTACAGAAGACTTTACATCACTCAGGCTTTACATCACACAGACTTTACATCACAGACTACATAACACAGACTTTACATCACAGACTTAACATCACACAGGCTTTACATCACAGACTTTACATCACATAGGTTTTACATCAGACTTTACATCACTCAGGCTTTACATCACACAGACTTTACATCACAGACTACATCACACAGACTTTATATCACACAGGCTTTACAGAAGACTTTACATAACAGACTACATCACACAGGCTTTACATCACATAGGTTTTACATCAGACTTTACATCACTCAGGCTTTGCATCAGACGTTACATCACAGACTACATCACACAGACTTAACATCACAAACTTAACATCACACAGGTTTTACATCAGACTTTACATCACTCAGGCTTTGCATCAGACGTTACATCACAGACTACATCACACAGGCTTTACAGAAGACTTTACATCACACAGAATTTACATCACAAACTTAACATCACACAGGTTTTACATCAGACTTTACATCACTCAGACTTTACATCACTCAGACTTTACATCACTCAGGCTTTACATCACTCAGGCTTTACATCACACAGACTTTACATCACACGGACTTTAAATCACACAGGCTTTACATCAGACTTTACATCACAGACTTTACATCACACAGACTTTACATCAGACTTTACATCACTCAGGCTTTACATCACAGACTACATCACAGATACTTGACATCACACAGGCTTTACAGAGGACTTTACATCACACAGACTTTACACAGACATACAGTGTGTGGGTGTGGAAACCATGAATTGGCTGTCATTAATATCCATTGCATCTTGCTGTCAGCCTGTATCATTTTTCATCCTTAGCCTGTGTGGTTGACTTCAGATTGACAGTGACATGTAAACTGAATGTAGCTTTTTAAAAAGTTTCTTCTTCCCGTTCCTCTAACTCTGTGTCTTTACTCTTTTCAGTGTAATGGTAAAGATAAGGTCCTCTGTGGCCGGATATTCATCCTAGAACTGGACTCTTTGGATCAAATCCCTCCCTCCTCCTTTCCTCCTCTCCTGTACTGCTAAGACAGAGTCCTCTACACGGCCTAGAACCAGTGGACAGTACTGTGAAGGACACTGAGACACTGATTCTGCGCTCTTCCTTTGTTTTGCCTTGTGCTGCTAAATGTTAATGTGTAAATCTGTGAAGACAATAAATGGACTTGACAGAAGTATCCACAAATAGACTTTCCTTTTGTTGATGGACTATATCTCTGTTACCACATTCTGGATCTGAATGTTAAAAACTGAGTTTGTTTTTGTGGGACATTAGCTAGTTGATGAGCAAGGCTAGCCATGCTAACACATTACCATGTTGTGAGTGATGGTATTCAAAGTGAAAGTACATGTTTATCTACTGTCTCTGGAGTCAAGGAGGCCACAAAGAGGCCACTACAGCAGAGCCATTCAAGTGTGAAAATAATAATAGCATTAATATAGCATTAAGCTAAAAGACCAGATAAGATAGCAGATTAGCAGTTCAATGGCTCCAAGCCTCCTCCTTTTTAATCCTGACTGAGCTCAACCAGCTCCAGTGTTTATCTGTTCATTGACTTTGAGTTTTACACTGAAGTCGGCTAAGTACACTCCAAACAACAGGAAGTACATGACTATGACCATCTATGACTTCTGTGCCTGTAGTTATTTAATGCAGCTCATTGTCAAACAGATAGTTTCAAGTGACTGCACAAGTCTTTTCAGATTCTTGGTCAGTTTTGAATTTCTTTGGCAGCTGTGGTTCAGTTTTTGTTCTCAGTGCATTTTGATGAGTCAGTTGATGATTGAATGTGGACTCATGGTGTTGGGCTCTCCCAGATAAAGACCTCCCCAGGCTGTTCAGTGTCTCTCTCTCAGACTCACTTACAGAGCTCCAGATAACTCATAGATTGTTAATTGGATGGTAAGAACCAAGATTCAACTTCACCCCCTCTACCCTGCACCTGAACCCCCACTCCTCTCTTTCCCCTACCCCTCCCTTCCTCCCTCCCTTCCTCCCCTTGTCTTTCAGTTTGCATGCAGTTTGTGTAGTGAATGTGTCGCCTCTGAGGAGGCTGGAAAACATGATCAGCTGTTTGTAGCTTTGTTTCCATCCAACTGTCTGTTCCCATCGAGACACAGTTTGATAGAAACCTGAGTCTGACAAAGTAAATATCACAGCAGAGACCTGCACGTCGCAGGTGAAGTATGATGATAAACATACTAATGAATCTTACATTCACAAACACATTGAACACAAAATGCATCAGACATTTTAGGGCTGTCATTTTTAAATTATTTTATTTTTCTCCAAAACAAGTTTCAGTGAATGAAACTAATTAACTAATTGGTTCCAACAAAAGCCAGGTACAGCAGCCTGATGCTAAACAATGTTGTTGATCATTCATTGTGTCAAAGTGATTTTGTTGTGTTACTGTATCAAACAGTCTTTAGGGGCTTTAAGCAGCGACGGTTGAAGTAATGGCTACGGCGCCTGCATACATTCCAAGGCATTGCCATAGAGATGGAAATCAAAGATCACTTAGCAACATTTAGCAGAACTTGATTTTTGCTTTAGAGACAAACCTGATATCAGATGAGGAGTTTGTATAAATCCGTCTGTTACTTCAGCACCACAGACAGCGTCATGGTTTCATCAATACACAGCACAGTGAGGTTGGGGGAAGAGGGAGGATGGAGGTTAACAACAGTTTGTCTGACATGTCTATGAATAAACTGGAAAAACCTGTCAAATTAGCCGGTATCATTAACTATAATCATTATTAATGAAACTACTGATAGTATGATGAAATATAAATGAAATGACAGAGTCAAATATGACAAGAATATATAATTACCTGCTAACTCTGTAACGTATCACATTGCAAACAAGTCTTTTTTTGCCCATAGTAGACAGGTGAACTGCAACAGTAGGAAGCGTCGACATAGAATCTACGTCATCGCATCATGGCATAGTCATCCCCTTCAACCGTCGCTTTCCAGTATACACACGTCACAACCAGGTTTTAATAAGTTAATGAAGAGAGCAACTGTTTCGATTGGTCAATAATAAGTAAATACAACATCGACAGTACACATGACCAACTTTTACTTACACTGTGAATTTTCAACAGGAAGCAGTGACATCAGTTTGGTCAGTAGATGATCTAAGGACCAAACCAACTGACCAGTCTCAATCTTCAGTTCAGTAAGATTAATGGTCAAATGTTGTAGAATGAAATGTGACAGCCCATCTATTATTGAGTCTGCATTAAAAATCATTTGGATGGAAACTCAGCTACTGATGATCTATTAATAACCCAATAATACTTTTTAAATATTAAGATGTATCAAGTTTGAAGAGAGTGATTATCTGTTTCCATGTTTCACTATGTGAAATGATGGTGTTGAGGGTGGGGGTTTCAGGGCTATAGAGAGAACATGGAGATATTGGCTGTGCTCTGTAGTAGATAACAGAATGTGTTAGGTCTGTGAATTGGATGCTGTGGTTAATACTCTCCTCCCTCTGCTGCTTGTATTCCAGGTACAGAGGAGGAGGAGGGGGCGGCAGCAGCTGAGGGAGAGGAGGAGGCTGCAGCTGCTGACGGCGAGGCAGAAACGGTTGTGGAGGCAGTTGCCGAGGTAGTCGGTGAGGCTGCTGAAGTCGTTGTTGAGGCGGCGGAGGGCGTCGCCGAGGTTGCGCAGGAAGTGGAGAAAGTTGCAGAAGAAATCGCCCAAGTGGCTGAAACGGTCGAGGAGGCCGCCCAAGCTGTCGCAGAACCGGCCGTCGTTCCTGCTGAGGACCCCGAAAGCAACGGTACGACTTCTTCTGAGGAGGAGGCAGCTGCCTCTGAGGCCTGAGGGTCCACACATTCACCACAGGGAGAGACACACACTACTAGACACACACTTGACTATCTCTAACCACCCTCATTAAAGAGCCCTTTTCCTCTCACAACACTGGGAACAGTAAAACAGGTAACTTCCAGTCACAGGCTTTAGATCCACTAGAGGTTAGCTGCTTCTCCTCAGGTGCCTAGGTTCACCTCGTATTGACCTTTGTTTTGTTTTCTCTTGTATTTATTGGAATGAGTAGAGTGGGCAGCACGGTGTGCAAATGAATGGAAGGAAATTTTGACATTTTGTTGATGTGCAGCGTAGATCACAATGGATGATGTCTACATTTGTTCCGATTCTTATGCAGCCTAGAGATGCTGAAACCGGCAAAACCACCTTCTCAGCAGGTTCATGATTTACAGCTGCACACCAAGACATTTCCAAAGTGGCAGTGAGGTCTTTATGCGACGCTCATTTGCAGTTATGGGTGAAATAAATGTGATCACTGCTTTTGCTCAGGTAACATGATAAAACCTGCTTGTTCATCTGAATCAATCACAAGCCTTGTATCAGTTTAAACCAACAACATGCAACTAAAACATGCAGGAACACCCTCTAATGTGAGATCATCAAATCTTTATCAAGTTCCTGATGCTATTTTCTCAGATTTGACAAAACAGTGTATTTCTTTGATATAAACCTCTGTAATGTTGTACTACTTTGCCACGTACCACAGAGCAGGTACACACCTGTTAGTGTCGTACAGTTGTGTTTATCCGCAGAGACTGTGTAAAAACTCTGTAACTGCTGCAGTGTGTTCTTTTCCATAAGTGTTATGTGAACCAGTCAGAGAAGCTGTTAAAAACTCATTAGGTTAAGAGTGATTCAAACCATATGTGATCATAATTTTATTTTGCTCGTAACTGGATAATGAGCACTGTAAACAGTTCATGGTAATCCATCGAGCCATACAATAAAGCTTTTATCAAACTGGAAAGGTTTACTGCCGTCTTTAATTTGTCTCATTTCGTCTTTTTACCATAGTTTGTATTGTGGTCTTCGAGTAAACACATTTAAACCATTCATCCCAAATTTAACAATTATTTTTCTCCACATAATAGAGATGATTTGCTTTACCATTTCAGACCACATGCATAAGTGAACATGTATATTGTAATGAGGCTCTCCACTGCATGTCCTCCTCAGTACTTTGTGTATCAGACACACTGGGACTTCACAGCGGCGTGCTGGGGTAACTGGTGTTATGTTGGCCTTTAGGTAATATGTTATGTTGTTCTGTTATATTGACCGATGTTTAGCTTCTCACAGATGCTCTATATCTGTGCTGCTGTATGTTTCGGCCACTGGTGCTGACATACTAAATATGTGATGTAACCTTGAAACGGTGTCATCATTTGTCCACCAGAGAGCTCGGATGAGTGATTTATTTTCAACTATAAAATGTCCAAACCAGTCCATCCTGTATCTTCAATAGTCAAATTTAAGAAACTTTTATAAAAAAAAATAATAATAAAAAAAAAAAAGGTTACATGTCTGTTAGAAAACAAATATTAGCTGTACTGGACACACTTTTAGGTTTATTCAATTTCAAAGAGTTCAGTCCAAACACCACCTAAAATGACCTATTGATAGGTGTCCTATTGTTTTGCTTTTGTGTGTTTATTAGCATGTGGGAAGCTTGATATTTTTGCTATACTTACACTCCAGTTTTCGGTGCTGTATCAGTAGACCTGCTGACTAACACACTTTCCTGGTTTCTCATCAACTTCTTCAACCTCTGTGGGTTCACCTTTCTGCCACTAAATCCTTTGTCACTAGAGGGGTTTCACAAATGCCCAACAAGTTGCCTTGGCTAACCACCACAAGTTGTGTGTGCTAAATGTGAGAATATAACTTGAGCGTCAGTGATGTTTGGATGGCTGGATTTTGTGTTGCAGTGCTGCTGGCAGCTGCCTCTACCCTAGAGGTACCGAAGGAAGAGTTTGCATCTGCTGACATTAAGGTTGCGCCTAAGGAAGAGTTCCCAGCACCAGAAGAAGGAAAGCCTGTAGAAGAAATTGCTCCACTAGAGGAGGCCCTTGCATCAGTAGAGGCTGCACCAGTGGTAGAAGAGGCCCCCACAGCTGTGGAGGCTACACCAGTGGTTGAAGAGGCCCCCGCAGCAGTGGAGGCTGCACCAGTGGTTGAAGAGGCCCCTGCACCAGTGGTTGAGGAGGCCCCTGCACCAGTGGTTGAAGAGGCCCCTGCAGCAGTGGAGGCTGCACCAGTGGTTGAAGAGGCCCCTACACCAGTGGTTGAGGAGGCTGCACCAGTGGTTAAAGAGGCCCCCGCAGCAGTGGAGGCTGCACCAGTGGTTGAAGAGGCCCCCGCAGCAGAAGAGGCTGCACCAGTGGTTGAAGAGGCCCCTGCAGCAGTGGAGGCTGCACCAGTGGTTGAAGAAGCCCCCGCAACAGTGGTTGAAGAGGCCCCCGCAGCAGTGGAGGCTGCACCTGTGGTTGAAGAGGCCACCGTAGCAGTGGAGGCTGCACCAGTGGTTGAAGAGGCCCCTGCAGCAGTGGAGGCTGCACCAGTGGTTGAAGAAGCCCCCGCAACAGTGGTTGAAGAGGCCCCCGTAGCAGTGGAGGCTGCACCTGTGGTTGAAGAGGCCCCCGCAGCAGTGGAGACTGCACCAGTGGTTGAAGAGGCCCCCACAACAGTAGAGGCTGCACCAGTGGTTGAAGAGGTCCCCGCAGCAGTGGAGGATGCAACAGTGGTTGAAGAAGCCCCCGCAGCAGTAGAGGCTGCACCAGTGGTTGAAGAGGCCCCCGCAGCAGTGGAGGATGCACCAGTGGTTGAAGAAGCCCCTGCAGCAGTTGTTGAGGCTTCAGCACCAGTAGATGTTGCACAGGTGGTGGAAGATCCCAAGAGAGAGTACATTGTTGTTGTTTTGGAAGGAACACCTAAAGCAGAAAAGAGGCCTAAGGTGCTGGGAGTGGGGCCCATGACTGGTAGAATCATCCCATCTCCAGATGATGACGATGCCCCTGCTTCTGAGGTACTACATAACTTTTATTGACTGACCTCTTGGACTGGTTAAAGAATTCAAGTCCAGATGTTGATCAGTATAGAAGTGACAAGAACACAATACTTACATTTCTCAGACTTAATTGTACAGTGTAACAGAGTTGAAATGACCGGTATTCATTATCAGGGTGCTTCAGTATAACTAGATGTAGAAAGAAATCCCCCCTCAACCCCCACACTCCGGGCTGAAACGAAAACTCTAACATGAATCTCTATATTTTGCCACTCAGGGTAGGCGACGTCTTCTTAGGATGCAAATGCAGTAGTTCCAACAAAGGTACTGAGCCTCTGACTGTTTCTACCATGGTAGAGTTAGCATGATGTACTTGTGATTACAATTAAGTCCTACCATTCACATCCAAATTGTATTACTTCAGGGTCAAATGCACAGTAGGGACGTAGAAAACAAGGTGGCATGTATCCATGTAGAGGTATTGTACAGTCCTATTGACTTTTGTTTTTCTGTCCTCAATGCAGTAAACAGCTCCTGAATGATGACTTTATGTCCTGAGGAAGAAGAGGATGTGCCTTTTCCAACACTTTCCCTTCCTCCTTTCATCCTGAAACACAACGGACTGATGTGTAGTTTCACTCTGAAGACACTCAAATGTACAATATAACTGTCATCCCACAGTGTTAGCATTGGCCCATATAGCCCATTCCTGTGACACTCCACATTGACTTACATGTCTTGTCTCTGTAGACCCTGATGAACCCAGTGTGTAGTTCAACAGAGCTCTCCTTTATCTTCTGTAAAGTCTAATCTGTTTAAAGATGTGAACAAAACTGAGCCATTCACCTATTTTTACCTGTTGGTTTACGCCTCAAACATCACTCCAGTAGAACAACTTAATACCACCACATCCTGTTAGCCTAATCACTGCCCAGCCGCTTGTGATGTGAACCTACAGTATTATCTTTTCAAGCGAGGGGTGGTGTTAAATCACCAGCATTCTTTACATTACCTGACTTCAGGTCTACCTTCTGTTTCTGTTGGTTTGAAAATGATCTGCTGGAAACACCGGCTGTAGAGCATGTGTACAGTAGCTCTTGTGCTACCTCAGTTTTCCTCATGTTTCCAGTCTCTGACACTACGACCTCACTAGTTTTTCAGCCGCTACCTTCAATAAGCACATTCTTCTTTTTCAGAGGCTGTGATTTAATCAGCACAACAACTAATCCTGGAAAACTGCTTCTGCACAGCTCCCATTGGGTTAAAACTCTGAAGAGTGTTTAAAAAGTACAACACAGTTGGGACCTTGGTGATCAGGCCGTGGTCACTTTGATCGTTTCAGCCCATAGAGCAAAACAACCACTGTTTGTTCCTCCATAGTTCTGGTAGATGAATACACAGTAAATGTACAAAACATTGGGAACCACCCTCCTGTTATAATCCTATCTTAAGAGCTTTTCTTGTGTTGTTCTAGCGGTCAGACCTGTGTGGATGTGATTTAAGGGCTTGCAGCAAGTATGAACAGTCATGATACTGATGTTGGTATGACATGAAGTTTGTGTGTGTGGAAATTGAAGTATGTCTGAAAGAAAGTCACCAGTGTGAATTGCTTTGACAGCTCTGTTGTAGTCTGTTGGTTTCCTCTTTCACATTTTCTCACCTCAGCTATTGAATTTCTGATTTTCTTAGTTTGGCATACAGTATTTGAAACAGATGTGAGATCATTGAAGAAAGAATTGAACTTCAGTGTTAGTATACTGTATATTTCAAAATGGAAATTGGATTTAGAATGTTCTATTTCCTTCCAATAGGATGTGAGTGGATCCCTTTGAGCGAAGGGGCAGCAACTGTTACTGTGAGACATTACTGTTTTTCTTGTTTTGCAAAATAAAGAGGGATTAAAGGTTTGATTATTGTCTGTTGCTTTGTCATTTTTCCCAGGAAAACTTGATTTAATCTAAGGTGACATACTGTAATATTTACATTACAATTACATTTACTCATCTGTCAGAAGCTTTTATCCAAAGTGACTGACCAGTGAGGGACATCACTAAAGCTTCAGTGCTGTTAGAGTAAATGTAGGTATTAAGTACTACATCTTTTTAATAAGTGCAAGAAGACCAGGTAAAGAAGTGCAGGTAAAGTTCACAGTAAGAGCCAGTTAGGGTGTTAGAGGTGTTAGGAGAGGAGGTGCTCTCTGAAGAGATGAGTCTTCAACAGATTCTTTGAAGATAGAAAGGACTGCTCTGCTCTGATAGAGTTTGGTAGCTTGTTCCACCATCAGGGAACCACAGACCAGAACAGTCTGGACTGTGCAGGGATGGTGATGACAGACTACATTCCTTGGAGGAACACAGTGTCTGAGAAGGAGCATCAGGCTGAATGATTGAGTTCAAGTAGATGGAGCAGTCCCAGAAGTCTCTCTGAAGGCAGCATTAGAGACTGAATCTGATTCAGGAGGTCATAGGTAGACGGTGGAGGTCGATGAGTGGCAGAGTGACGTGACCTTTCAGGCTGATTGAGAGCACTGCAGTAGTCCAGGGGAGAGATAACCATGGTCTGGACCAAGCGCTGGGTGGAGTACTGAGTCAGCTAACCTGATTTTTCTGATGTTGTACAGAGCAAAGAGACACGACCAGGAGACGGACACAACATGGTCAGAGAAGGAGAGCTGGTCATCAAACATGACACTAGGTTTCTCTAGACCTTGGTTGGGGTCAGAGATGAAGAGGTGATTTAGATATTGATATCATGATGGAGAGATTGACATGCCTCTTTTGTTACTTTTACACAACCAATAAAATGCCAGGTGGAACTTATTCATTGAGAGGCTTATGGCAGACTCAAAGATGTTTTGGTATCCTGCAGTTAGCTGACCAGCTGTGGAGAGGCTGACATGGGGCTCTACCAGTTGTGGTGCAACTGACAAATGCTCTTCGTTTTTTTGCTAATGGAAATTTTCAGAGTGAAGTGGCCCTTTTTCTGTATACTTCGTTACATAATATCTTCAACAATTAGATTGACATGGCAATGTCTTGGGTCCTTCTATGTTTTTTTTGTTTTTTTTCAATTTAGATTTTTATAGTTTCCTTCAAACACCAGAAACAGCAGTATTGAAACTTTTATATAGGTCACTCACTTGCTCATAAGAATGACAAAAGAATAAGACAGTATAAATACAATTGAATAAGCTGAAACATTAATACAATCCAAACAATAGACAGTACATATTGAAGTAGACACCTACATACATGATCATGTACAAATATAGTAAAAGAAGAGGTAAGTAAATGAGAATAAGACATGAGATAAGACATATGATAATAATAATGATAAAAATAACAATGTTAATAATAATAATAAGTACCTAAATAGACAACAGTATCAATAACAGCCATAAAAGTAAACAATCAAAATAACAATAACAATAACAATAATAATAATGACAGCAACAATAACAATAATAATAATAACAATAATAACATAACACTCTTTCCCACACAGCTTTTAAACCTATTTTAGTACCATTAAGGCCCTCCGTTAGATAATTGTAGATTTTACTTGCCAAGTGCGGGAGATCGCTAGGCAGTTTAAATTTGGAGTATATAGGGGATTGAATAGGTAGTCTCGTGTCTTGTGGGCCTGCCTTAGAAAGGCAATCTCTTAACTGAAGGAACCTCCAGAAGTCTTTGCTGTGGAGGTTTAAAATGTCTTTAAGTTCTTCAAATGTAAAAGTATTAAAAGTATCTAAAAGTATTATTATGATAAAGACATTCAATTTACTCAATCCCCCTAGAGTGCCACTCTTTCCAGAAGAACATCTTCCCTCCTATTTTCAGTTTTGGGTAATTCCATATTGAAGCTGATCCTATGAAGAAGGGAGATCCCTCTTTCTTGTGAAGATGATGCCAGATATTCCTAGTGTGAGTGATAACTGGGTTTTGGGTATTAGTGTTTGGGCATTGGCTCAAGTAGTCAACAGCCTTAAATGGGGCATTCAATTCACCTTCCAGATCTACCCAAGCAGGCCTGTTTTCTCTGTTGGAGAGAAGTGATACTATCTGGGCACCCGTGAAGGCTTCCTGGTAGAGTCTCATGTTAGGCACGCTCAGTCCTCCAGAATCTGTTTTGGCCTGGAGCCTTTTAAGTTTCATCCTAGCCCTTTTCCCAGCCCAAGTGAATTGACTAATCATTTTGTCTATAGTTTTAAATATAGTAGCTGGAACACTAAGTGGCAGCATGCTTAGAAGGTAGTTTAGTTTAGGAGCTACAACCATTTTTATTACCTGCACTCTCCCCCATAATGAAATCTGTAGTTCCATCCCTTTAGAGGGAGTTGTATCTTGTTCAAGGCTGGGTCAAAGTTATCAGATATAATGTTTTCAAATCCTGGATTCAGAAGTATACCCAAGTATTTACATTTTTTTGGGACCCATTGGAATTTCCAGTTTTGAAAATGACTTCTATAGCAAAACTTAGATAAAGGCATCACCTCACATTTGGTCCAGTTTATATTAAACCTGGATATGCCTGAGAATAGGCTGACCAAATCCAGCATTGGAGGCACCAACCTTTGTGGGTCTGACAACAGGACCAAAATATCATCTGCAAAGATTAACATTTTATTTCTTGACCACCCATTTTGATACCCGTTATTTCTCCATTTAGTCTTATAGCTTGTGTGAGAGGTTCTAGTGCAATAATGAAGAGAAGTGGTGAGAGTGGGTCGCCCAGTTTTGTTCCACGTCCTATCGGGAAAGCAGATGATCTCAGATTAAGTACAAGAGGCGCCTAAGGCTATCTGTAGAGGTCTTGCCCTTAACAAAACTGACCTGGTCAGGATGAATACTGGTTGATATGACCTTGATATGACTCTCATTGCAAGAATCTTTGTAAACCGTTTCCGATCACAACACAAGAGACTAATTGGTGAATAACTTCCGCATTCCAGTGGGTCTTTCCCCTTTTTTAATATAAGGGTATTTAATGACTCTGTCATTGAGCGGGGGAGGCTGTGTATTTACAGTAGCAGCATTGAATGTGTTTAAGATCTCAGGGCTGAGTTCCTCTGCAAACTTTTTATATAATTCACTAGGTATTCCATCGATACCAGGGGTCTTTCCACTAGGCGACAGTTTAATAGTTTTATTTAATTCCTCTAGAGTTATTCGGCATTCCAAATCTCTTACACTCTCTTCTGACACTTAGGGGAGATCAAGTTGTTAAAAACATGCTCTAGCTTTCCTTATATCCAACTGACCCTCTTGACTGTAGACTCCTTTGTAAAAAGTCTCTAAACACATTATTAATTTCTCTATGGCTAGTTACTATGTTCCCATTCTTATCAATTATTCCACTAATCTGGCGGGCTGCTTCCTGTGCATTTAGTTGGCTGCAAGCATTTTACTAGCTTTGTCACATGATTCCTACCTTTTTTTCATCTATAGATAGAGTATTCTGCTTTTTCTGAGAAAATTGCATTGAGCTCATATTTAGCCTTTACTAAGATGACCAGACAAGCTGCACTAGGGTTTTCCCAGTATTCCCTCTCCAACTTTTTAATTTCTGCTTCATAGTTAGAGATTTTGAATTGGTCTAGTTTTTTAGTTAATGCTGATTGTTATATCAAGATTCCCCTTATGTAAGCTTTAAACCGTTCCCACACAAAACCCTGTTCAGCACTTCCATTGTTAGTTTCGAAAAATAAATTGATGAGATTTTTAAGATTTAGACAGGATGCCTCATTCTGTAGAATGCTACTGTTGATCCGCCAGCCTTCAAATCTTCTTCTATAGTATTTTTGAAAATCAGGTATAGAGTTCAAAAGTTACATGTGGGAATAGACCTTCAAATTTGACCAGTCTGTGGTGCGAGAGCACTTGAGGCACAGACATGAAACTTGGTGAAACGCATCACGGGATTGTCTCCAGTCAGTGTGCCAAGTTTCAAAACTTTGTACCATATGGTTCAAGAGGCTGCCAAAGACTCCCATGGCAGAAGAATAGCCCTTTTCCACCAAAATTAGCAGGTATTGCTGGTTTTTTAAACATGGTTAAACTTGCTAAAAAAGGCGATTGACTCCTTTTACACTGCCAGCCAATTTGCGTGAGCGGACTCACACTCACTCATGATTGCAGTCACAGAGCACACACACACAGAAACAGATGCAGGAGATAAAGAGTGAGCTGCTAATGGCTGCTCAGACTGGTAAAATGCATCTGTCATGTCTCATTCCGGGTTGGTGCTCCTGTAAAAGTGTAGGAGGCTCCACGCTTCCATCATTAATTGTGTGTTTTTGAAACTTATTTTGGGGTTGCAGTTAACTCTTTCACTCTTTCATCCCTGAGCGCAGGGTAGCCGTGGTGTCTCTGGTGTAACAACACAGCAGGTGACAGGTGTGTTTACAGTGTTTGTGCTCAGAGGGATGTCACAGCACAGAAAAAATGTGAAAATTAGCGGGTTCACCAGAGTGTTACTGATAAAACCGATGAACCGATATATATCCACGTCTACTGCAGAGTCGTGACCTGGGTGTGAATGCTGATTAAACCCTTTTCTATTGCCGATGAAAGCCAGATGTTAGTGGTGGAAAAGGGGCTGAAGAAGAAAAGGTAGAAACACAATGGGTAACTACACAGTTTCGCTGCTTGGCTCCTAAAAATAAATCAAAACAAAAATTCTTGACAGAAAATACCCTCCCCAGGACCAGTGGAACAGTTAGTAAGACCTATTAGATGTTCAAGGATGATGGATTGCAGGAAATAATGAGATCATAACAAATTCAGAAATCACAATTGCCCCCTCATTGCTTCAGAGCTTGAAAACCACATATTCACATCTTCAGCCCCATTTATATGAGCCATTGATAACACCATGTAAATGATATTCAGAACCTGAAGTGAAGAAAT